TGAGTAAAAGATGTCTGAGCTATGTATTCATTGACGCACCTAAGGCCAGAGATAGCAAAAAAAAATCTACTGAAGGGTGTGTACTCTTTGGTTTAGATCCGGGACCTTTCTGGGAACGAATCTGGAACAGAGACTAATTAGGTCATTGTATTAGCCAGGGTTCTCCAGAGAAACGGAAGCAAGAGGATGTGCACATACATGCAGAGACGAAGATGTATTTTAAGGAGTTGGCTCACACGATTGTGGGGGCTAGCAAGTCCGAAATCTGCAGGCAATTTGGGGACCGAGGGAAGAGTCGACGTTGCAGCTCAAGTCTGAAGAGAGTCTGCAGGCAAATTTCCTCTTGCTTGGGGTAGACAGTCTTTTTAAGGCCTTCAACTGATTGGAGAGGCCCTTCACGTTATGGAAGGCAATCTGCTTAACTCAGTCTGCTGATTTAAATGTGAATCACATCTAAAAAATACCTTCACAGCCACATCTACGGCAATGTTTGACCAAAAACTGAATACCATGGCCCAGCCGAGGTGACATAAAACCAACCTTCACAGTTACCCACTTGAGTTCTGAGTGATCCCCTCACTGAGTCAGAAGGGAGTTGGCCTTCCAATGAGACCCAGTCCAATTAAATCAAATACCTAGGGTGAGGCCCAGGCAAAGGTATGTTCTGATATTCCACAGGTAATGCCCGTGTGCGTCTAAGGTTGAGAACCACCGAGTAGAGAGGTGGTTTCCAGACTGGCCACTTCATCATCTGCAAATGTGCTAGACATGCAAACGTTCGGCGCTGCTCCAGACCCACTAACTCCGAAACCCTGGGGCAGCCGTGGCCCAGCAGGCGGCGGTTTAACAAGCCCTCCCCGTGAGTCTGATGCCTGCTCGAATCTGTGAACCACTGGTCTGGAGTTCTACAATGATACAATGTCAGCACACGCAGGAGCGTAACACCACTCCTGCACTCCCTTCTCGTAACTAGAAGGGCCGGTGGATTAGTAAGGCTCTCTGGGTGACACAGTTAACTCCTCGTTAAGGTTTTCTGTTACTTAAGTAACGGAGTGTTTGTTGCAGGAAAATAAGAAGGATCTCGATTGTGTGGCTAGACTTCAATGAGATTGGGTATTTTCAAGATACAACACATGAGGGCTGGCCCAGTGGCGTGCTGATTAAATGCGCGAGCTCTACTTCAGCGGCCTGGGGTTTGCAGGTTCTGATCCTGGGCGCAGACCAATGCACCGCTCATCAAGCCATGCAGTGGTGGCGTCCCATATAAAGTAGAGGAAGATGGGCATGGATGTTAGCCCAGGGCCAATCTTCCTTAGCAAAAAGAGGAGGATTGGCAACAGATGTTAGCTCAGGGCTAATCTTCCTTACCAAAAAAAAAAAAAAAAAAAAAAAAACCCAAAAAACAAGATACGACAGATGTACCAATCTGACAGCAGCTCTGGTGACTCAGAGGCAGCTTCTGTGGTTGTCGCCTCCCAAGAGTTAAGGTGTAGAACCCCAGTGTTCCAGATAACGCCTCAGCTCTTCTATCGTTTCCTCTTTCCTTGTACCAACTGCTGGATTCTTGCTCCTTTATCTTCTAAATCCTGGAGAGAATCCGATCGGCTCAATTAATCACTTTCGTCATTTGGTCAGTGTTTCCTTAACATTTGCCCAACATAGAAGCCCTACTGGCAGACGGGAAGATGGGCTTTCCTAGGGTCAGGTTTCCCACCATGCCCCCTCAGTTGGGACCAGGGGAACATGAAATACAGCATGTGAAGAATCTCGTAGGGCCATTTCCCTCAAGATGTCTGAGGAGCCTCCTAACGCGGGCCGTGGGTGTCACACAGGGAGGCTTGGTCTGTTGGAGATGCTTAGCTGGGCTCTGACCCTTACATCTCTGCAGCTCTTAGACACAAAAAGACATCAAGGAGAAATTAAGCATTTGTTCAACTATAGCTTTTGGGGATGAGTTGGAAACTTACTGAAAAACTTTGGAAAAGTTTCCCTTTTGATATTTCCTATAAGAAAGTCTTCTTGTGGCTGAATTTAGGAATGCCATGAGCCATATCATCTTGGAAAAAAATAATCTTATTTACATGCAGGGCCTATATTTTATGCAGAAATTCTCTTTGCATCATCTCATTCACTAAGCCATAAATGACTAGAAGCTTGATGGTATTTTTTAAAACCTCATTTACCAAAAAGAAAAAAAAACCTCAAGTGGTAGTTTTCTCTAGATCATTCCAGATTGGCATTCCAGGCTGTTTTAATAACTGATCTGATTTCACTGTGCTGAGCTGAACTAAAAACAGGAAAAGTCGAATCCACATCCAAAGGCTAACGGGGAAGGCACGAGGTTCTTTGAAAACCTTAATGATGCCACAATTCACTGAACGTCCTGGAATCATTTTACCTCTCAATGCCAAAATTAAATTTGTATTTTATCCAGAGTCTTGTAGAACCCATTTATTTACAGGGTACCAGGATTGCCACTATTGGTTACCTTATGCCACCAAATAACAATTTCTAAAATAACTACAAATACTATCTTCAAGTCCAAATCGTAAATTTGAGGTACCAGAATATGAAAACCAAAATTTAATTTGGATTTATCAAATTATTCATTGTAACTGATTGTTAATAACAAAGGGACATTTACATTTTGAATTGTTCAGGTCTGCTTTTAAAGTCCATACTTTGCAAACTTGATTTTAGATAAGTTTTCTCTTGATAAGACTAAGATCCTGCAACCCTAAGCCAATGTCTTGTTTTTACTTTATTTGATTAAAATAAAATGTGCCCTCACCTCAAAATGTGCCTCTAAAAAGATTAAGAGAAGTATCATCCAGCATGTTTACAATGAAAATCATGAGCCTAAAACTTTTGTTTTCAGATATTAGCTGCTGAAATTGAGACTTCTGGAAGGTTTTGGCAATTTTAGCAATGTTCGCAAACATTTTATTTTTGGTAAGTCCATTTATTTCAAAACCATAGTCTAGGAAGATTATGGTGACTCTTTAATAAAACATATTAGTCTGCTTGTGGTGATATGAAATGAGAAAATTGAAGTTTCTAATCATTAAGTTTCACAAAGAAATTATTCCCTCATGGTTTCATGGGGAAAAAATCAAGACATTTTAGTCGTGCCACTTCATCGGGCTGTAGTTAAATACTTCCAAATTGCATGTAAATATGTAGTATTACTAACCCAACTGAGTTAATAATCTGTTTTATCTGGTAAATTTCCGTTATCTGTAAACTACCTTGGTAAAATGAGTCCATCCTCACAACAAATAATCTACAAGGTGGGGGATATACTCTACAGAAGTCTATTACACCTTCCAAATGGAGTGTTCAAAGAAGCGCTTGATAATTTTTAAAAAATAGATACATGCATTATTTTTCCAAGTCTCTCCACTTTATAAAAATAAATGAAAAGAAATCCAGAAGCGCCTATGCATATTTTTGTATCCTCACTCATATTCTTAAAAAATAAAACCTAACATGGTTGACTACTGCTGGGCAAGACCTAAGGATGCTACAAAGAGAAACCATTCTACTTTGAAGATTTTTAAAATATCCCGCTTCAGTGTAATTACCAGTGTTCACAGTTTAATTCAGAAGTGAACACATTAAGTGTTAAGTCGTAGCAGCAGAGTTTATTTTCATGAACATACCAGCAGATGTCAGCAGAAACTAAGGCAGTGTCACATGAATTTATACAAGGATGTTAAGCTACTCCTAGCAGGGTAACCATAATAAAATAGAAAACCTCTCATGACCAAAGCTTAGTCCATTTAAGACACCTCAGTTTTGGGCCGGCCCCGTGGCTTAGCGGTTGAGTGCGAGCTCTGCTACTGGCGGCCCGGGTTCGGATCCCGGGTGCGCACCGACGCACTGCTTCTCCAGCCACGCTGAGGCTGTGTCCCACATACAGCAACTAGAAGGATGTGCAGCTATGACATACAACTATCTACTGGGGCTTTGGGGAAAAAAGAGGAGGAGGATTGGCAATAGATGTTAGCTCAGAGCTGGTCTTCCTCAGCAAAAAGAGGAGGATTGGCATGGATGTTAGCTCAGGGCTGATCTTCCTCACACACACACACATAAAGGCACCTCAGTTTCCTACATCGTTACTCCACCTGTAATTACCCTCTTGGAGGCGGCAGGCCTGAGAATGAGAGGCACAGTGGGATCTGATTTTCAGGGTAGCAACAGCTCTCTCAAAGAACTGAACTGCTCTGACTTTGTGCAACAAAAACCATCTACACCACCAACCGACACTACAACAAACCAAACTACACTTTAGACAGCCATCCTTCCCTAAAAAAAAAATCAACTGGTTTACAGAATATTTCATCTCAGCCAGGCACTCCAATACACGTGCAGGGGTTCTGAATGTGAAGTATTTGTGAGCAAATGAAGGCATTTCTCTGGGGAGATAGCTCATAGCTTTCATCAGCTTCTCACAGGGGTCTTGGACCTCCAAAAAGTTAAGAACCATGGTAGAACTTAGTAAAATTATATTCTCTGTATTAACAAACCACTCTATGTATGTATGTATGTATGTATGTTTCAAAATACAACTGCTAAAAATCACTTAGTTAAATCCATGCCAGGAAAGCAGTTTTAGAATAGACTGTCAAGGCTATAGAACAGCTTGTTATATAGAACTAGATACAGTATTTTAAAAACAAAAGAATCTTATGTATAATATTCCAAAGGTAAGTAGTTATTTTCTTATATTTGTAAAAGACAAATAGGAAAAAGATGTCATGGGATGCCATTTATTTTATTCAAATATATACATGCATTTTTACTTTAACATTTGTGACCAGCAGTGTGTAAGACAGATGTTTGTGGCCTAACATTAACATCTCCACCAGTAGAACCCCCATACAGCAGAAGTTAAATGTTTATATAACTTTTTTTTTTGCTTTTTAGATTAACAGCATTCTAAAATAATTTAGCCACCCTGAATCATACTTATGCAAAATATAAAAAGGATCTGGATGATTTCATTGTATATTTCTGTAATTTTATACTAAAAAACAGTAAGTGGACTTGTGATATAATTTTTCCAAAACACAACTTTTATTACAGCCTACTCTAAATCAGATATACCTTTCTCTTTAAACATTTTGCATGCTCATTAAACGATTGGTCTCCTAAATAGGCATAATGAACAAATATTAGCAAAATTGTTCTTCAAGAAATTTTCCCTTGAAAAACTTAATTATTACCATCTTTCAAAAATAACACAGAAATGTTCTAATGCTGAACTATGACAATTTGAATTTTAAAGTCATTTATTCCAATGACAAGATATTCCTGCTTCAAACAAAAAAAATCTAAGATTTTAATTTCTCCCTGTGAAGAGCCTAAGTAATATATTAAATCATACTTACAAGCAACAAAAATGATGGTAGTAATGCCAATTAAGAAGGTCCAGTGATCCTGGAAGTACAGGTAAAATTGGAATCGATGTTTATCCTCCAGAACAAAATATTTCCTTAATTCAGGAAAAAAAAATCTAGCATCTGATTTAAGTATATAAAGCTAAAATATTCTTTTTGCCAGTGCTCTGGTGAAACACATGGATCACAGAATTGATTAACTGTACTTCTGATAAGTAGGTCAGTGAACAATTATAACTTAAAAATGACATTTAATTCCATGGTTGAAAAGGGCATTCCATCAAAGCAGAACCAGTCATTTTAAGCAGACACCAAAATGTACAGGAATAAAAATCAACCTCTACTGGGCAACTGACATCAAATTGGCTGTAAAAATTCAGTTTCAATGGCTAAAAAATATTTCAAATTGTTGAAAGCTCAGCTGATTAAAGTACTCTATTTAGGGAAAACGCAGCCCTAGTCGAGTGGCAATGTCCCAGGTGATGAAAGATCTTAGACAGCGACAGGTAGCTGTCCTAAAAAAGGAAAGAGCAGAGAGAAGCGATCACTCGCCCCACCCTCAGAGGGCACCGTACGAATTCCAACATCAAGATGCAACTTCCGAACAACTTAGAGTGTCTCAGCCGGTGCTTCTCCATCTTTTTTTCACTATTCCTCCCTTAAGGAGCCTTGTTTAGATCTTTTAATCCTAATCAACACTCTACAAAATTTTAATATCACAGACACAACGCATGTTTAGGTACTGTGTGTATATCTGTGCTTTATATATAGAAAGAATTAGATTTTGCCACCAAGAACAAATTTTCACCAAGAATACATGTTCTAAACAATAAAAGGTTTACAGCCTTTTATTTTTGAAAAGTAAGAGGGGAGAAGAATTGATATATTTTAGCACTTTGATATGTAGATTATTCCTAAAACAGTTTAACACTCAACCACTTAGTTGTGTGAAAATTAATTCTCCCTGAACTGGGCACTGTTCTCAGCCACGGGCCATTCTTCGTTGCAGGGCGGTGTGGAACCAGGAAAACGGCCACTCAAAGCAATCTTAACCATCAATGGGGAGAATTATGATTATTCTGTGAGCCTTAAAAATCTGTCAAAATACTAAAAACTCTTACTGTAATAAATGTACAAGAAAATGAAAAAATTACAAAAACAGATTTTTTAGTATACTGTAACTTAAAACATTAGAAACATTGAGAATTAGTGTGTTATTTCATTGTAAAAAACTAATCAAGAGTAGTCTGAACAGTGCTTGCCTTCTTTTTTGGTTAAATAACTCATAATGCATAAGTCTTTTCTGTACCATGGCGAACTGTCATACTCCGTTAAGTCTGGATGAGCTTCCGCCAATGCCCTGAGACATTTCTGCGATCTCCTCTCCCATGGAGTTTTCCACCCTCAGGGGCTCTGGGACACACACATCCTTCTCAACACGGCCACTCCGCTCACTTCCGGTGGTGAGTCTGCCTGCACCGAGTCCCTGGGCAGCACTTCCAGAGGCTCCAGGTCAGCAGGGTCCACATTCCCATGACCAGCGATTTCTTAGATCTCACTTCTGGTGCTATCCTTTTTCATTTCTTCACTGCACTTTCATCTTTGTTGGCCAACTTTTATCTACTTTTGTAAAATATTGCGTGGGTGACAAGAAGACAACACACTATGTGCTTTGCTGCCTGTGAATAAACTGAGTGACAGAGGTGCAATCACCAGCAGAGCCTGGGAAACCAGACTGGTGCCCAATCCTGAAGCACATCTGTTACTCACATAGTGACCAGTGGACGGAAGAGCTGGCGGGGAAGTTTGTACCTCATGTAATTACTCACAGTTCATATCCTGTGGTAAATGAAATCTGAACTGTGTTGTTGGGGGACCGGTGTTATTTAACTAAATCGTTGTCATCAAGATTTGTGGATGGCGGAAGCGTGCAAATCGAGGACTGCCTACAGCCTACTTTTTACATTGACCTGGACAGGCTTAAAGCTGACTGTTGAGAAAGAGCCCATCTAAATTTACATCAAACAACAAATCCTAAAGCCCCCTAAATGCAATACTAATGCCACGGTGACTGCATGTTGTGGTTTTCCAATTCCTGTCATTTGGCAATCAACTTTAAAACGTATCTTCTATAGAATGACAGAATTTTAGAACTAGAGATAGGACCTTTAAAGATCCCTAGTTTGGTACCACAAACTATCCAGCATGTTTGTTATGAATTATTTCTCCTCCTTCGATTTCGATCTGCTCATACAGCCACTTGCGGTCACAGCGGCACTCGGCTCCACACTTGGTAGAACCACAGGCAGGGCAGGCATAGAAACAGCCCAGGCAGTCTTCGTCCAGGCAGTCGCAGAGGTCCATCCCACTGAAGATCAGGAGGCCCTGGCTATCATAGACCTTGCTCTTCGCCGGTATCACTTGCCTGCAAAGTAAGACACAAGGTGCATCACATCTCACAAGTATATTATTTTTGAATTGAAGACAAGGTAATGAAAAAAAACCGAAGGAGATAAAATATTTTGAATTAGGGATGAAGTCCCGCCAAACTGGTACATAACTGTGCAGACACAAGGCTACTCTACAATTAGGAGTAAATGAATCCATATGAGAGGAGACTGTACTCTAAAGTGTGGAGACAAATACAGGAAGCCTGAAAATGCCTCTCAAAGTCCATTTAGAAGTCAACTCAGCAAAGAAACGGACAAGAACTGTGTCCCAAACATAAGTATATTTCTTTTAAAACTATTTTCCCCTTACCTGGGGGAAAAAAAAAAAAAAAGAATGGCTAGTTAATAGCGGTATGCTTTAGTGGCTATCAGTCTCTTCACTGCTTTGTGAACATAATTTTATTTTTAGGACAGGATAATACCCTATTGGCTTTTGTACTGTAATAATTTGTTTCTTGTCCTTTAATGGACACTAGCAAATCTGGCCTAAAAATACTTAAATGACTCAGTGGAAAACCTTAACAGACAGAATAAATGGCATATGTAGAAAATTCTGAATGATTACACTAACATTTCTTTGTCAGTTTATATTTTAAGAAATGCTCACTTTACAAAGTCATATTCTAAACAATTTAGTTTCCTCATTCATTCTGTTGACTGTATGTACCATAAATGTTTCTATTTCATACATGTAAAAAATAAAAAGCAACCTTCTGTTCTCATAAAATTTACTTTTTAGCTGCCAGTAGAGCAGAGATAAACCAGTTACACACTATCAACGCTTTTCAAAAAAGTGAATTATTTTAATTCTAAGTATAGTTTGTTTAAATTATTTTAATTCCCACGCCAAAAATATTTTCTTGTTCACTTCACTGATATTTTCTTGGAAAGAGATTTTTAGAGTTGAAAGGGACACCTTAATTTCATATGATGCCCTCAGAGGTTTTACCAATTCCAGATTATCCAATTTAAAACATTTAGCCAGAAAATTCAAAACTTGAGAAAGATAGGGGAACAATACAGATGTGAAGCAGCAAGTTTCCATGTGCCTTAAGAAACAAAGAGCCTACCTGTCTGAGCCAACTGTTGCATTTTTTGTAAGCCTTCTTTTTTCTCTTTTACCAGTTTCTGGAGCAAATTCAGTTTGTTTTCCTGGGTTTGCAAACTGTAATGACCTCAAAGCTTTAGCCGTTCTTCCCTGAATAAAGATAAACAAAAATTATCAACTCAATCTTGACATCAGATTATAGATAATAATAATAATAGATTAATATTGCACTGGATGTTAATCCATATTATTCCTTAAACTGGAAGACAGTCTGGAACTCACAAAATACAAAAAAAAAAGTTTTAGAGCCCAAGTGCAACACAATTTACATGGCTCTGGACCATATTCAAAGTTCATGGGTCAATTTCCTTATACTATTTCATGATCTAGTTTTAGTCTCTGGCACGTTAGGAGCGGGAATGGGTGGAAAGTGCCAACACGGCGAGGAGGCGGAAAACTGCTGTCCACCCCATGGCACACAACTGAGGTTCCCGACAATGGTCCTGAGTCCTTAAGAAAAGCTTCTATTATTATTATATATGTATTTAAAAAAGGAATATGGTTTCAAGTTTTCTGAAAGAGTATTATAACCTTTCAAAAAGCTTTGGTAAAACAAAATTTTGATGGTTAAGGGTTTAAGTTCGTTACTTGGGGGAAAAAATCTTTATGTGACACATTCCACGAGAGCAACGGATAAAGCCAGCAGAGACGAAAGCTACAGTGACAGCGCCTCATGAACCACAAGATAACACCGGGCCCTGGAGATCTGCCTCCAAGGGGAACAAAAGGAAAGTGCTTCATATAATTAACATTTTTAATTATCTTTTAATTTGGTTTATTAGCTTAATGAAAGAAAACTGAGAAAAATATCCCAGCAGCAAGAATTATAAATTGGTTATAAATAGAAATTTTGAGAAGTGCTCCTTTGACATACTTGCCCTTGTTCTACACCAAAGATAGCTTTATGAAATCTTAAGCTGTTCTGATATGGTTAAATAATCTGAATGCCAGTATGTGAATAAGGAAGAGAGTTATAAAATATTTAATACCATGTAAAAATGTATGCTTTTTGACCATAGGGAGTCCTAAAATTAGCCTTGACTATACCAAGTAAGAATTCAGAGTTAGAAGCAAAGGAAGTTCACAAGCATCTTAAAAACCCAAATGAGAATGGGATAGTGCCAAAGAAGAAAGGTTGAGATAAACAATTATTGCAAGTCGCTCTTTTTTTTTTTTTTTT